GGGCAAGGAAGCTGAACTTCAGTAAAGCACCAATTTACTAATACTGATTTCTTCTGAGCTCCCTTCTAATATCTGAGTTGCTTCATTTAATTAATTATGAACTTTACTCTAGATCTTTTTCCCTTTGTGTTGCCAGGTTTAGATTCTACTCAGGGATTCACTGGATTTAGTAATAATATAACAGTAATTAGAATTTATAACAATAATAGCACCATTATCTTGAAGGAACAAATATATTAGAGTTTAGTTTTTACATGATTCCTATGGGGAAATCCTGAAACTATACAAAGAACAATCAATGATTTGTTAAAATTATTTGAAAATATAATGATTGAAATGAAAGTAAGAGGAAATATTTTCTTTATGAAAGGTGGTAACTTTTATTAATATTTAAATTCTCTCCTAGGGATAATGAGGGTAATATATAGTTTCCAAGAGAGTTCAAATTGTAAAAAAATAAATAAATAAAATAAATAAATAACAGTCACATAACATATTTTAAGGAAATAATAGTCACATAATTTTTTAACAGTGAACAGTTAAGTTCACATATCTTAAGCACCCAATAAATATTTGTGGAATGCAGAATGAATGAATGAATGTTAAATAACCTGGAAGAGCAGCAATTGTAATTAGTAGAAAATAATACAAAGATGTGATAAATAGATGAAAAACATGAATCAAACTGTAATTAATCCCAGTCCAAATAAACAACGAATAAAACTCAATTGGCTACAAAAAAAATCAAATGGGAACGAATATGTTAGCCATGAAATTCAAGAGGTAAGGGAGAACTATCGGCAGAACCCTCTTCACGCCCACACAGATTTCCCACTGTTGTTTTCCACAGCTAGTTAAATTATTTTCAGCTTGCTCTTTCAAAGTACTTCAAATTTACATTTGTGTAGTTTCCAGAGAGTCTTCACATTTGTTACCTCATTCCATCTTCAGCACAAATCTCTAGAGTGCTTATTTTTAGCTCAGTATAATGGAGGAGAGAACTGCGTCTGCTGAGGGGGAAATGATTTATCCAAGATCATAAAGCTAATCGGTAGCAGGGCCAGTATTAGAGACTGGGTGTCCTGCTTTCAAGACCCAGGTCTGTCCTCTAGTCACACGTAGGTAAGTAGTACCTTTATGTCATTCTTGATGGTCATTTATCCCTACAAAGAGCAATCTATGTTTCAAAACAGATTGTCAAAGAACATTCACACCAAAGGACAAAATGTGTGGAAAACAATTCAGAAATATGCAAAACAACTTTAAAAATTGTTAGATAGTTATTTCTGGAATTAACTAAAGGAAATAAATCAAACATATTAAAAGTTATTTGGCCAAAGTTAGTTATTACAACATTATTTATGACAGGAAAAGGGAAAGAGAGGAAGGAAGGAAGGAAGGAAGGAAGGAAGGAAGAAGGAAGGAAGGAAGGAAGGAAAGATCTATCAAAAGATAGAGATAACTAAGTAAATCATATTCCATCAAATTGGTGAATTATCATACTGTTAAGATAATTAGGAAGAGTAAAAACAACATGCAAAATGTTGAAAGCAATTTTAGCTGGGAAAAGCTGGAAGGCAACACAGAAATATGACAACAGTATGTTGTGATTGTGGAGTTTTAAAGTAAATTTTTTAAATAGTTTTTATTTAATACTTTATTAAATCACTTTAACAATAAACAAGTTTATAGTTCATGTGAAGATATTTTAGGTAAACTGTGACTAAAATCATGCCCATATTTGGAAATTTAACTTGTGACAAATGATTGGAGGTTCCTAAAATATAGACATGAATAATGTGCTGGGTTTGCTTATCTGTCTTCAGCCCATGCCTTCCACAGTACTCCCTTCCACCTGTGTCCTGCCATGTCTTCCTGACCTCTAACCCCTTCTTCATTTTTGCTTCTAAAGCTGTGCCAGCTATCTTATTTGCCTCCTATCATCCATTGAACTTATCAGAGTCTGGATATCCAGGGGCATCAAAGAGAACTGCTACATTAGACGAGCAGCTGTCTCTCAATGACATGAGCCCCCGATAGCTGGCTCAAAAACAAAAAGCTGCTGACTTCCCCTTTAAGCTACTGAATCTAAAGAACAAAGGTTGAAACTCCCTTAAATCAATCATTCCAAAGGTAGATGGCCTTGTACAGATAGAGGGTAACCTTGGAAAATCCCAGAATAACTATTGTGCAAGGTTGCAGGGCCCAGGCTGCACTCCCCTACCAATCCCATTTTAGTTTTCCCAACAGACCTCCTTTACGAGCATCAGTCCAAAGGACACATGTAGCTATCCCTGTTTCATCAAGGTTTATGTCAAACTCACTATCTCTAATACTTTTTACCTTGTTAGTTGGCAAACAGGATCAAGTTATAACTATAAGCGCCACACAAACAATCTCCCCCACATTCTCTACATGAGAATGGAGGGCTGTCTTCAGCCCAGAGCAAAGATAACCCTTGATACCTTGATAGCCTATGCAAACAGCAGCAAAGGTGAAGGAGACACTGTGAAACATGAAGGTCACCTTGGGGCATGACCGTGTGTGTGTGTGTGTGTGTGTGTGTGTGTGTGTACATGTATATGTATACGTATATCCAGAAAACTTGCTGGGGAAGGTATTGCAAATGTATGCCTGTTGTCTTCTAAGATGTCCTGTTGCTCATTAAAATACTGATGCAACAAAGATTTTATCACAGCTTAGGTCATCTTTCATATAATTACTGAAATATGCAATAGAACATCTATTTTAAAGAAACTGCCCCACCCCACCCCACCCACCTTTCTTTTTCTTATTAGGGCTAGCTCATTGCTATTAGGACGGGTTTAATGAATTTGTACTGATTCTATCTCACTCTCCCTTTAGTGTTTGATGGCATCATATTTGCAAGGCAGCTAGTTTCTAGCTCAGAATCTCACATGTGTTCAGAACTTTACAGTTTATACATTGAAGGTGCACAATAGCCCTGAAGAGATGTACTGATGACAGAGGCTTTTGTGGATGAAAGCACTGAGGCTACCAAGGGATTAAGTGATCCATTAGAATAAAGCAAAGAATGCCCCCTTTGAATTCTAGTAATGCATGACTGCTTTTGTTTCAAATCAGAAAAAAAGCAGTTCTCCAGACTTTAGATTGTGATTCCAGGCCCAGAAGAGCCCAGAAAGAGCGGCTAAGACCATGTAAGGTGGAGTCTGTCCCTGGCTCCCCTGTGATTCCTTCCAGAAACTGGAACCTCAGGTTGGAGACAGAGAAGTAAGCTACAGTCTGCACAACTTGTCAGAGAGGAGAGCATTCTTAAGCACCATTGGGAGCATTTGAGTGCTAAATGGTTCCAGGATCTTGCAACGAAAACCAAGCAAGGTCAGGTAGACAGAGGTAATACCTTGAGGCATCTACTTCAGAAAAAATCTTTCAGGGAATGATTTAAATTAGCTCTTCTTGCATAAAGCAAAGAGCCACCAGTTTTAGAATCCTCACCCCTTACGTTAATGTCCACCTTTCCCCACCCTGACAGGATTTATGGAACATTTTTGGTGTCCACAGGCTCTATTAAGTCTGAACCATTGCACATATTTGATTGTTATCGACCGACAAAAGGCACTTACAGATAATTCAACCCAGTATAAAGCATCTCTAATGAGCAAAAGTAAGTTAAGGAACAAAACTGAAAACAGACGCTGTTGGTTAAAAGTAAGGGTTTGTGCGCTTATTTCAACAACAGCCAAATAGAGGAGAAATTGGGAAACCTGGGAAGAGGCAAGCAAGTCATATGCTGAGGGAAAGAGAGAGAAACACAGAAAAAGGATGACTTTATGACTGGCCAGGACACGGGTGTGGGCTTGGGCATTTCACTGGCCGAATCCTTAACTGGAGTCCCTCATGCTAGCTCCTCCTTCTGATACAGCTCCTGGCTCTTTACAGAGCCATGCCTTTTGGATTTTAATTATTTTTCACTTCATGCCTTGTTTTATACCATTTTATATGTTTCTTTTTCACACAGTTCAGTCTTATGTCCCCAATTAATATTATTGGCTCCTGAGGGCAAGTTCCTCTGTCACTTGCCTCTCAGGACAGGCAAGGTAGGCATTGAGTTGGTACTCGTACCTATTCCATAGACTGGAAACCTATCACGAGGCTCTCTTATAAGAGCTCAACCAGAAATGTAAACTCTGGGAAGACCTATGATAATGTAGGCAGTAGCTCCTAAGTGCTCTGTTCTGTACTACATATTGAATATATACATTAACTCTACATCTAACGACAATTTTACCAAGGGTATTTTTTTTAATTTCATTTTACAGCAGAGGATACTAAGAAATTTCAGAAAGGTTAAGTGACTTATCTAAGGTCACACAGGAAGTACCTGAACCTCAAGCCCAAGTGTGCTGACCTCAGGCCCACACTCTTTCTGCTGGTTTTCTGCTTTGTGCAGTGCCTGCCACCCTTTTATAATAATAGTAATTATAGCTAAGGCTTATATTGAGGTTACTTTGTGCCTCGGACTGTTCTAAGTCCCTTTATATACACTAATTCATTCAATCCTCACAACAAACCTAGGAGATGGACTCTAGTTAATTATTCATTTAAAGCCTGCATTATCCTGGACTTCTAAATTAGGTCCAAAAGGAGATTCTGTAGAACAATGAAAGATCACTGCTCTGTGTCTTTTTATCTGGAGAAAGAAACCCTATAATCCACATAGTATCTTACAGTCACCCAGCCTCAAGAGGCCCCAGGAAGGGAGCCAGAGAAAAGAGAAGTAAGATGGAGCTTGGACTAGGGCTCTCTGCTTGCCCCTCGGCAATCCTATAAAAGTGGCTTTAGGTTGAAAACACAGGGGAAGTGGACAGAGAGTCGACTTGGAGGTCATCAGGGTTCCCTGGCAGCTTCCCGCTGCATCTCCCTAGGCTTCGTGAATTTGTCCATGAAAAGACCTTCTACCAGCCAAGTCACAACCCTTGTAAGAACAATAAAAATTAATAATATTTTCTTCTTCTTAGGCTCATTCGAAAGTTTGGCATAACTACAATATAAATTTCCGCCCACATCAGAAGGGCTGGTTATCGATCACGTTGGGATCCCACTGGATTGAACCAAACAGATCGGAAAACATGACAGATATACTTAAATGCCAACAGTCCGTGGTTTCTGTGCTCGGCTGGTTTGCCAACCCTATCCATGGGAATGGCGACTATCCAGAGATGATGAAAAAGGAGTTGCTCGCCACTCTGCCCCTTTTCTCTGAAGCAGAGAAAGATGAGGTGAGGGGCACAGCTGACTTCTTTGCCTTTTCCTTTGGACCCAACAACTTCAAGCCCCAGAACACCATGGATAAAATGGGACAAAATGTGTCACTCAATTTAAGAGAAGTGCTGAACTGGATTAAACTGGAATATGGTAACCCCCGAATATTGATTACTGAGAATGGCTGGTTCACGGACAGTCATGTAACAACAGAAGACACCACAACGATCTACATGATGAAGAATTTCCTCAACCAGGTTCTGCAAGGTTGGTTGCACATTGGCTCAACTTAAAAAATTAAATCAATTAAATATGCTATAGCATATTGAAAGTCACCTTTGAATATATGGTTGCTGTTGTTGGTGTTGGGCTTTTGTATTATCAAATGTTGACAGACTTTTTAAATGTTATTCGCACGTCCTTTTTTAGTCAAAGTTTGAGAGAAAAATACTTTTAGAGTGTAGATACATCCTTAATGAGCAACAAGATGCTGTCTCATTCTTTTTAAAAGAACATAATGCTAAAAAAGCTACATCCAAAGTTTTCTAACAGTAGTGCTTTAGTCTAATATGCTGACAGCTTTTCTTGAAATTGTCTCCTTTCACCTTATTACATGACTAAATGATCTTAAAAACAATGTCTAAAGACAAAGAATGAGCTGTGAAGGGCAAAGATGAGTAATTTCTATTGCTCCTGGATATTGTTCTGACCCCTACTTATCCACTCATCCCTATTCCATTACTCAAGTAGTGACATCTACAGGTGACTGATATATGGTGATGGAAGGGGAACTGACTCTGGGTGGTGAACACACAATGTGATATATAGATGATGTAGTATAGAATTGTATACTTGAAACCTATGTAACTTTGCTAACCATTGTCACTCCCAATAAACTTTAATTTAAAAAAAAAAAAAGAAAAACTGGAGCAGAAGACAAGCTCAAATTATGATAGTTCTGTCTACACAGAATTGGGCACCATTTCATGCAAATATAAAGGAGTCGTTGGTGGATCCTTCTAAAACTCTGTAGCTCTCTTTAAAAACCACAAGCCTGGATGAAAATCCCAGGTTCTGCCGGACAATGTGCTCAGGAAGGATCCTCAGGGAAAGCTAGACCTTGCGGCCCAAGAAGGAAGGAGGAGCAAGGAACAGAGCCATGCCCAGCCACAGGGCACATGCACATGGGGGGCCCCAGAGCAGAGGGCCTGGGCCGCATGCCATGCACTTGAGCGGAAGGGTATTATGTCCCAGGTGTTACCATTCCACCTCTCTTCAGCACCCTATAACCCCGAAGGGACTAGAACCAGGGCCCATTAAAACGTATTTATCCCACGGCGATCTCTTGGCATGGATTTTCTACCTTTTAGGAAAAGAAGGTCAGTGATAAAACCCCAAAAATGCAGAAGGGAGGCATTTCTATGAGAGAAATAAAAACTTTTAGGAAAGAGAAATGGTTCATGATTGACTTGGGTATTTGTTCCTTTTCTTGCTGCTTTTGATTTTCGTGTTTCATTTTTTTACCCAATTCCTAAAAGTTATTGAATCAGAGCTTTAAAGCAAGAAAGGTCGTGAGAGATCATCTTTTCCAATCTTCTCTGTTTACAAATGAGGAAACTAAAGTCAAGAAACTTGCCCAATAGCACCCTCCCACCTCCTGCCCCTCAGCCCAGTGAGTTCTTGTTCTCTTACATCACTGTGCTGCTTTCTCCTCGTATTTACACTCATTTATGTTAATTCTCAAAGCTGGTTTTTGTGTCCCTGAAGGGAAGTTTCACAGAAGATATCTTGCTCACAAACGGGAACCAACCCAAGCTTGAAATGAGAAACTCTTGGTCATGAGCAGTCATTGGTCCCAAAGAGTTCTGGAAATTACCATGCCCTCTGACACAGATTTGCACACTAAATCTCAGGAATATTTTTAGTTTGATCCTTTAACTGTGTCATTCACTTGTTGGGGGAGGACCACTCTGGATGAAAATGACTGCCACTTTTCAAATATATCCACGACATTTCTATTTGATGTAATGGGCCTACAAATTAGGCAAAAGGTTGGTTTCACAATACGCTGTCCCCTGGCATATTGTTAGTGAAGTTGTAAACATGAACTAGTGTGTTTAGGCCTCCAAACATCTCTGCTTTTTTTCCCCTCTATGCAGCAATACAGTTTGATGAAATACAAGTGTTTGGTTACACTGCCTGGTCTCTCCTGGACGGCTTTGAATGGCAGAACGCTTACACCATTCGTCGAGGATTATTTTATGTGGATTTTAATAGTAAACAAAAAGAAAGAAAGCCCAAGTCTTCAGCACATTACTATAAACAGATCATACAAGAAAACGGTTTTACTTTAAAAGAATCCACACCAGATGTGCACGGTCAGTTTCCCTGCAACTTCTCCTGGGGTGTCACTGAGTCTGTCCTGATGGTAAGTGGTGACTTACAAATTAACTATAAAGTGGGGCAAATAGTACAGAATATTTTATTTCATGTACTCAATGACAGCTAAGAGATAGCTGTCCGACAATATCAAATACCATGATTACTTGGAGGTTATGACGGGAAGCTGGGGAAAGAGGAAGGAAGACTGAGAGCCTTTCTTGTGCCAGAACTCATGATGGAGAGCTTGGTGATGGAGACGAAGAGGCTGTCCTCAAGGAGCACACAGTCCAGAGGGAACTTACAGTTATTTTTGTGAGAGGCACTTGGTAGTAGTGTCAAAACTACAGGAAAAAAATTTTTATACATTTTTATTTTGCCAAAATTACATTATTAGTGACCCTTTATTTAAGAGATTCCTGTTATTTGATAGATTTGGGTAATTTGCCTGATGAGGTCTCTGTATCCCGGGGGGGGGGGGGGCGGGGAGCGGAGGAAGAGAGGAGGGTCTCCCCACATGTTCCATTCCTCATCTTCTTCAGATATTTACTCAAATGTCATGTTCTCAAAAAAGCTTCCCTCCACTCCAAAAAATCATAACCCCATCACTATCACCTCTCATCCCACTTTCCTGCTTTATTTTTCTATATAGCATTCATCACTATCTAGCATACTATGTGCTTTGCACACTCTTCTATTTATCCAGGGTATATTTATTGAGATATGATCGACATACAATATTGCATAAATGTAAGATACACAACTTGTTGGTTTGTTACACTTATATATCACAAAAAGACTAGCATTAGCATATAACATAGCATTAGCTACCACCTCCATACCATCACAAAATTCCCATTTCTTCCTTATAGTGAGAACACTTAAGATCTACTCTTAGCAACTTTCAAAAATATAATACAGTATTATTAGCTATAGTCACCATGCTGTACATTAGATTCAAAGAACTTGTTCATCTTATAACTGGAAGCTTACACTCTTTGACTGATATCTCCCCATTTCCCTCACCTCCCTGCCCCTGATAACCATTTCACACATTTTTCTTATTTATCACCTGTCTTCTCCATTAGAATGCAAACTTTTTCCACACAAAAGTGGAGATGTTACAGGCTTTGCTGCCTGCTGTATACCTTTCTAGAGCAGTGCCAGGCACATGGCAGGTGCTCAATGAGTAGTGGATGAATACGGTAAACTTTAGAGCCAGGTGAGGCCTTAGGGACCCCCTCTATTCCAAATCCTTCATTTTACAGATGAGCAAAGTAAGATGCATCAATTAACAATTGAGACCTAAGTGACTTGCCCAAAGTAACCAGCAAAACTGTGACAGGCAACCTTCAAGCCCCCAGATGCACAGTGCTTTTTCCAAAATAATAACAACTATTTTTAAGCCCTTTATTTTGTGCCAACCATTCAACTGCTGTATGCACTCACATTCTCTCTGCCTATTCTTAAAGCCCTCATTTTACAGGCAAGGAAACAAGTTTAGGGAGGTTCCCTAATTGGTCCAGGTGACCCAGATCTCTCTGTCTCCTGATCACAATGCTAAACGACCTCACAGTACCACACTATTGCCTGTATTCTAGAAGCACATGGAAAACAAGATATACAAGGGATGAGCCGAGACCAAAGGGCTCAAACCATGAGTGGGCAAAGTTCACAGGTTACAGATCGCAGCCCCTGTTGGTATTTAAACAAGACTTTAGTAAAGGCTCAGGGTGATAAAAGAAGGAAAGATACTGACAGTAATATAAACACAGTGACCTTCAGTTTGTGTCCCCTATAGAGCCACCTACTTACCCCACTCCTATCTCCCCCTCCACGTGGCACAGGCAGGCAGCCATCTTTTCCCTCCCACTTCAAGTGGGTTTAAATTTTCTAAAAATTCCAGACCCAGCAAAGACAGATACCAGGAGAGACAAAGAGTTTCTACCTGTACATGACCCAACCTGCAAGTTCCTGCTTCATCTGAGGACCCCCATCTGTTCTCCATCGACTATGTGAATGTCTGCCCCATTCTGAGAACTCTACTCCTAATCCTAGGAGCAAGAGCTGATCACATGGGTCAGTGGAAAGAAATTCTGTAATCAACCAGGTCTGGGTTTCACGTTCACACTTGCAGCCCAGCAAGGAGTCAGCTTCCCTTGAAGTTGGACTAAGAATGAGGATGAATGGTTTGCCAAGAAAAAATAGGATGCTTTATGAAAATCAGCCAGAGGATATATGACTAGATGCTGTGCAGGCAAAACCTAGATGTCCTCTACAAGAAGACTCACAAAATGAAAGTAACACTTTAAAAATATTACTATGCCTACCTAAACACACTCCCAACTTATTTTCCCCCAGGCTCTTACCATTCTTTTCTCCTCTGAATTTTTGTTTTGAAAAACTTCAAACTAGTACAATAAACACCCATATTCCCCTCATCAAAATTAACCAATTGTTAACATGTTGCCACACTTGCTTTATCTCTGTCTCTTTCTCTTATGAACCATTGAAAAGTTGCAGATATCATTACACTTCACCCCAAAATATTTCAGCATGTGTCATTCTCCTACCTCATTAACTCAGGAAATTTAGTATTGATTCAATATCTAACATACAATCCATATTCAAATTTCCTTAATGTTCCCAAAATGCCCCAGAACCTGGAAAAAGCCATTTCTCCAGGTAGCCCAGGGCCCTTTTAGTGAAGAATAGAATTTTAGAACCAAGCACTGGGAGCTAGGGTTGAGATTAAGGGGCATCATTTTTAACTAGATCTCTTAGCAGATTAATCACACCCACATGCTAAGACTAATGCTTTCTGGAGGTTTTAAAAGTAAAACAGATTTTCATTTGACCTTGCCTTACCTGATGGCCAGGTTGCCCTTTGTAAACACCTTTTCAATATCATGATTCTCTAATGTTTCAAAACACTGAAACTGGCCACCTAGGTTAAGAGGATTTTACTCAAATAATTATATACAAATTTAACTTCAAGATCACCTGATCAATGTTCTCTCAGTTTAATGTTCTAGATAACTGGTTGACAGATGGCAAGTGAGCAGTCATATGGTTTTGTAATTAGACTATGAAAGATGACACATGAGAAAACAATTAGAGGGAAAATATTTACCAAACATTAATTATCATTTTTTTCCAGGTGCACTTAAATTCAGCCATGGGAAGAAAAAGTACTTTAAAATAAGTTGTTTTTAAAACTTTTACTTTCTCTTATTAATCCTGAATTTAGAAATGCGTTTTCTTAAGCCCTTTGCTGTTTTAATTTAGACTCAAGGGCCTAGCAATTATTGCAACCAGGAAAAACTAAACCCATGTCATGTCTACCTTGTTTGTAGAGTGCTTTGGAGTTGACAGAGCACTTCCCCAGAGTCATTGACTCTTGACAGCACACCTGTGAGGTGGGTGAGATTACTTCATCACTATATAGAGCTGCAAAGTCCTAGTTTCAAAGGGGCAGAACTAGAACAGGAGTCCAGGGCTGTTTTCTTGGTGGATGGGGCAGGGAATGAGACACTATCAGATCTAAGAGTCGACGTGGGAATTTCTGGGGGGTATTTTACTGTCCTTTCCACTCGCAATGCAGGTACCTTGCATAAAGAGGGTGTTCAGTATTCTCCTGTTGGATGAACAAATGATGTGTACTCATAGGCATGTGGGTGGGGGAGAACATATTGATGCACAAGTGATCATATCACTCGGACTTTTCAAACAGGTGTTAGAGAGCTGCATTCAGCAAATGCAAGGGGTCATTTCCCACCTGACCCCACTGGTTTCTTTCAGGAACTGTGGCTGGCTGGGTTCAACCTGCCTTCTCTAACCCAAAGTGCTGTTCTCAGTGAAATCCTCTACCACTGGAATTTTAATTTTGCCTTCAATTTATGGCAGGGTTTGAAAAGTTCATCTTTCATGATTCCTTTCAACTGAGGGTACCAAGTTAATATCCTGATGCATTTGAACGGAATCACATGAGATCCCATGGTATGACCTAGGTTTTTAGGATGAATGAACTGGAAAACAGTGTCTCAGTGTTTTCTGTAAAACGGCTTATTTTTCAAGCCAGGCCCTGGGTGTGGTTCCTTCCATTTTCTGTTCTCTCTGGGAAGTTTCAAGGGCTGAGAGGGAGGATAATCCATGAGGCCTTTTCTCTGACATCCCCAGGTGAGCTGGGACACACAGGTAGGACGTATGCATCATTGATTTTCTCTGTTGTCAGTGAGAGGCTCTTCTCCCTCTCTGGTGATGTACACTAAAAGCCTGTCCACCGCAGCAAGCTTTACTTGAATGTGCTTGTTTTTCGCAGCCTGAATTGGAGGCTTCCTCCTCACCGTTCATCGATCCTCACCTGTATGTGTGGAATGTGACAGGCAACAGACTGTTGCACCAAGTGGAAGGAGTGAAGCTGAAAACACGGCCAGGTCACTGCACGGATTTTGTCAGTATCAGAAGACAACTTGAGATGTTAGCAAAAATGAATGTCACCCACTACCGGTTTGCTCTGGACTGGCCCTCAATCCTTCCCCATGGCAACCTGTCCACAGTTAACCGACAAGCTCTGAAGTACTACAGGTGTGTGGTCAGTGAAGGACTGAAGCTCAACATCTCCACAATGGTTACACTGTACTACCCGACCCACGCCCACCTAGGCCTCCCCACACCGCTGCTGCAGAGTGGAGGATGGATGAACCCATCAATGGCCCAGGCCTTCCAGGACTACGCCGGGCTGTGCTTCCAAGAGCTGGGGGACCTGGTGAAGCTCTGGATCACCATCAACGAGCCCAATAGGCTGAGTGACATCTACAAACGCGCTAATAATGACACCTACAGGGTAGCCCACAACCTGCTGATGGCCCACGCCCTAGCCTGGCACCTATATGACCAGCAGTACAGGCCAGCGCAGCGCGGGGCAGTGTCGCTGTCTCTGCACTCGGACTGGGCGGAACCCGCCAACCCTTATGCAGACTCGCACAGGCAGGCGGCCGAGCGCTTCCTACAGTTTGAAATCGCCTGGTTTACAGAACCCCTCAAGACCGGAGACTACCCGTTGGCCATGCGGGAGTACATAGCCCTCAAGAACAAGCAAGGGCTATCACGCTCCACGTTGCCTCAGTTCACCAAGGAGGAGAGCAGGCTGGTCAAGGGCGCTGCCGACTTCTACGCCCTGAACCACTTCACCACCAGGTTCGTGATGCAAGCGCACCAGAACGGCAGCCGCTACGACGCGGACAGGGACGTCCAGTTTCTGCAGGACATTACCTGCCTGAGCTCCCCCACCCGCATGGCTGTCCTGCCCTGGGGGGTGCGGAAGGTGCTGAGCTGGATCCAGAGAAACTGTGGAGACATGGATGTTTACATCACAGCCAATGGCGTCGACGACCAGTCTCTGGAAAATGATGAACTCCGAAAGTACTACTTAGAGAAATACATTCAGGAGACCTTGAAAGGTGAGGTTCGTGGGCCATTTCAGATACAGTGAAGTATGACATTTCCAGCTAATGTGAGTAAAAGAATGAGGGGAATAGGCTCATTAGTGACAGTGTCAGCTCATTATGGAAAATTTGGCAAGTATAGAAAAGTATCTTTAAAAAAAGAAAGAAAAAGAAAAAAATAATCACCCAAAATCTGACTGCCCCAAACAAACACCTAGACTTGTGCTTGCTAGACATTCTTAATACAACTGAGCTCATGCTGTAATAGCCTTGTATCCAACGTTTTCTTAACATCACATTATAAATGTATTCCATGTTCCTTAACATTTTAATGATTACATCTCATCATATGGACATGCCTCCATGTATTTAACCATTCCTCTAATGTTTACTATTTAGGTTTCTTTTTTTTAACCACTAAAAAAAATAGGTATCTTTGTATACAAGTATAAATCTTTGTCTTCATTTTTTTATTATCTCCTTAGGATGGATTAACCACTATGAAATTATTACTCAAACATTATAAACAGCAGTGCTTGAGAGTACTTATCTCACATACTCTTCCCAGCATTGGATATTATCATTCTTTAAATCTTAAATGTTCATGATTGATTTGTTGAAGCAGCAAAAAGTTCCCAGAAATTTACTCATTTGACAAATATTTATTGAGCATCTAATATGGGCAAAATGGTCCTGGGCACTATATCACCACTGAACAAAATAATTATTACCGTCCTTACGGAGCTGATATTTTTATGGAATAAGAGTCAACAAACAGATAAGATAAAGTGTGTCAGAAGTGAAAAGGTCTATGGAGATAAACAGAGCAGGGAAGAGGGTGCCCAGGGGTGGGTGATAGGAAAGTGGCTACAACTCTAAATGGAGTGGTTAGGGAAGCCTTCAAAGACCTGGAGCAGTGAGGCTGCAAACCAGTGCAGTTATTTGGGAACAGTGTTCCAGGTGAGGGGAAACCAAATGCAAAAACCCTGATATGGGAGCATGCCTGGCCTGTGTGAGGATAAGGAAGGATGTCAGACTGGTTAGAGAAGAATGAGCAAGGGGGAAAGTAAGAAAAGATGAGGCTAAGGAGGTAAAGGAAGAGGTAGATCAGGTAGGGCTTGGTAGGTAGGCCATTGTAAGAACTGTGGGTCTCACTCTGAGTGAAACAGAAAGGTTCTGGAAGGTTTTTAACAGAAGGGTGACACGATCTAACTTAACCCTTTAAAAGAATCACTCTGGGTGCTCTTTTGTGAATACACTGTGTCAAACCAAACCTTTCAAGGCTGAAAGCTCTTCTGAAAGCGCCATATGCTGGCCAGAAAAAGGCCAAGTCCTGGGGCAGGCGGCCTGAACCACCAGCAGCAGGGCTACATGGAAAAGACAGACGTGTCCATCGCCTTAGAGCTGACTGGGATTTTTATACAGTGGGTTTGCGGGAAGAAAGGTGCAAGTTGTTTTGAATTTACATTGGCTATAGACAAAGGAGGGTGGGGAAGTGAAGTGGAGACAGTTCTGGGATAGGTGCATAGTCCATAAGGACGTATTTGATGCTTCGGAATTGGTTGTAGACAACAGTCCTGAAAATTCATACATAATCAGGATGCAGTGGATTCTGGTGATGGGAATCCCTTTTTAGATAAGAGTTGAAATAGCCGCCTGGAAGTTGGTTCAAAGTTTCAACATACATTTAGGAATGTGAGCAATCTTTTGTTGGTTTTGGCTGCGTTAGCTGATTAAACTCCTGGTCTCATATTCCCATTATCCAGCTGTAATTTAATTTAGGACATCTCAAAAAAATTTTTTTGTCAACTGTAAAGGAGCAAAACAGAAACAGGGAGATTGCGCTAGTCTACTGGTAGGTAACAGATAATGGTGGATTGGATCAGGTTATTAAGAGTGGAGATGGCGAGTTTGTGAGTCTTTGCTTGGGACACGTTTGCCTCAGCTAATGTCAGAGACCAGTCATGAGTGCGGGATTGAGGGCAGCTCAGAAGGAGTGGGGAATGGGGTGGGCGGACACTGGTTCTTAATATGACAAGCGCTCTGAACAAGTCCAGGCTCCCGAGATAGGGCTGCTCCAGCCTGGCCAGCCTCCATTCCCCGAGAAAGAGGTACCTGACTAGTCTTCCTGGGCGTCCCACCCAGTGCTTCCTCCCTGGTGACCCCGAGCCCAGGCCTTGGGCGGCGCAAAGCCAGCCTTACCTGCGCATTGCCAGGAGAGCCCAAGGTGGAGAAGTCAGCGGATGAGTGGTGGTAGGGCTGTCCCTAGGCCAGGGAGACGCTTTTGCAGCAGGAGGATGATGCCTCGTAGTCAGTGTTGAAGCAGGAGAACATCGCTAACCATGATGTTCTCAAAGCCGGGGCAAGGGGCTGAGGGGCAGAGCTGGGTAGGAGCGCGGTCACTGCTTGCCGGCCGCGGCCACCAGCTCTGGCCGCCAGCTCCGTCTTAGCCTCTCGGCTGCTCGCTGCAGATGTGGTTGGAGCACAAGCCGCAGCCAGGTTTTATACCAGCGTGTTATGACTAAGCCCGGCGACGTCACGGCGCAACCATTGCCGACACTGGAGGGGTGGCGAACGGCCTTCTGCGGCCTCCTTGCCGCCTTTGCCGCCACCTTACCACCTCCGCCATCCTCGTAGCTCCGTGCCCAGTCTTGTGGTGTTTCTTTTTCTTATGAGCGTTTAGCAACCTGAGTCTTAGGGGTGGCGTGGACCCCGACTTCGGAGATAACTCACCCGACTGCAATAGTACTGGAAATGGAAGCCTCTTCCTAACATGGACATCCTTTGTACGGGGCAGGTATTGATGCAAACTGCTCGCCTGCGGCAGTCTTTTTCCTTAAAAATCAAAAATTTTAAATTCCCAGCGTCGTAGTACAGTAGGTTATCGTATTGTCTTATTTTGGATTCCTCGACTCTGCATCCAAACGCAGTTACAGTCCTAGTATTGCTTGAGCTCCGGGACTTGGAGCTTTGGGTGTCGAGGGTCGCTTATACAGTCTGCACGGAGATAAGCCTAGAATTGCGGATGGGGGTGGAGGCGCAGTCTTTTGCCGGCCTGTCTAAACCTTCACGACTGTTTCTCCTATATCTGAGCCTCAGAACTGGTCTCCGGTTTCTATACATTGGTTAGAGGGCGTCCTCCCCCCTCCCCCCCCATACCCATCCCCTGCACCCCAGGAACAAGGGTCTGCGTTGAACCAGTTGCAAATCTTCGCGCGAGCTCTCCTCCTTTCCGGCCTCCCCACCCCTGGCAAAGGACCCCACCTCACTACAAGGGGGCAGACCCTCACCCCAAGCCCCAAACCCCCAGGCTCAAGCAATACTAGGACTGTAACTGCGTTTGGAACCAGCAAGTCGGGGAATCCAAAATAAGAGCATACGATAAACTACTTTACTACGACGCTGGGTATTTTAAATTTTCGTTTTTAAGGAAAAAGGCGCATTATTTTTTCTAGGTTGCATATATGAAGATATTAATGTTATTGTAAAACTCCTGAGATACTAGCCAATAAACACTGTGCAAACTCCAAAAAAAAAGAAGTGGAGATGGTGAGAAGTGGCTAGATTCTGGATATAGTTTGAAGGTAAAGGCAACAGGATTGGATGTGAGGTGTGAGATAAAAGTGTAAAATGATTCCAAGGTTTTGGTTTAAATAAAAGAATGAAGTAGCCATTTACCAGGTTGGGGAAAACTGGTAGGCAGATTTTTGGGAGTTGTTTCGTGTTGCACAGGTGGTTTCAGATATCTATTAGATATCCAATTAGATGTCAAGTAGGCTAATAGATGTAGAGTCTCAGTTTCAGAGGAGAGGTCTGGGGCTGAGATAAAAATTTGGGAGAGCAAATGGATGGTATTTTCAAAAATAGGCTCAATGAAATCACCATAGAGAAGGGGCTGAGCCCTAGGACACTTCAGTTCAGAGGTCAGAGAGATGAGAAATTAGCAAGAGACTGAACAGGAGCCAGTAATGTAAAAGGTAACTAGATGACGTGTAATCAAGGTAGGTGGGCGCTTTTAAGATACCAGAAGTTACAGCATGTTTAGTCAGTAGATGGGTAGACGTGATTGTGGGAGATTGGAGAAGTGCTCTGACTGCTTGTTTTTCAGTGAAGTAGGAAGGTCATCACTTCAAAATAAGGATGACAGAGGTGCTGCTGTAAGTTTGAGGACATAGAAAAGGTGCAAACAGTCAGTAGGACTGAGTGATTTGGGGAAACCAAGTGTGTTTATTGGCACCACCAAGGGCACATTTAAGGTTCGGAAGCCGGCCAAATAAGCAGAAATGCTGTGACCCTATGATCAAAAGTGACAAACAGTCCTTTTACTTCATGGCTCCGATTCTTAAATTTGTCTCTCCCCCCCCCGCCCAGATGTTTTATATCATTTATGCATGTTTTACTTCATATTTTAAACTTTATTACACATATTTTCACCTTAATATCAATTATAAAAGAAATGTCAAAAAGTGCTTTAATGAAAATCACTTATGGGCATGTTTACCTTGTTTCAATGAAAACATTCTTATTCAAAGATATTTTATAGTTGTGATTGATAATGTTCATTTCTGATATTTTTCAGCATACCTGTTGGATAAAGTCAAAATCAAAGGCTATTATGCATTCAAACTGACTGAAGAAAAATCTAAGCCCAGATATGGATTCTTCACATCTGATTTCAAAGCAAAGCCCTCAATTCAGTTGTATAACAAACTCATCAGCAACAGTGGCTTCCCCTCTGAGGACAGTAATCACAGATGCAGCCAGACGCAAAGAAACACAGAGTGCACTATCTGCTTACTTCTTGTGCATAAGAAAGCATTGATATTCTTTGGTTGTTGCTTCTTCTCCACCCTGGTTCTACTTTTATCGATTACCATTTTTCATAAGCGAAAGAGAAGAAAATTTTGGAAAGCAAAGGAGAACGTACAACATATACCATTAGAGATTACTCACAAGGAAGTTAACTAAACTGGTCCTGTTTCTGTTTGCGTAACAGAAAGTTTAAAAATTCACTCCAGTTCCATATACCAGTAACTGAAAGCTATACCTATACTGTAGAAAGACAATGTATTTGTGGTAGCCAAAGTGATGACAATGTCTCTGCTGTGTGGTTCAAATGAATTTTCCCTTAGGCATTTACTGTTGATGACAGTGAATTCAATTCTTGGCTATGAAGATAAAGGTTTCTAGGCAGTAAACTATGAGGATTATGATACATTGCTTCATGATGTTTGATGAGCTGTTTTCCATCATTCCTTTCTAGCTATCTTTTATAAATACCAGTAGCTACTTATCATAAATTTTTGAAAAAGTGCAACTTTTTGTTATACTTCATACGAGACTTAAAATTCTTAACACTGGATAGTCAGTGCTATATTCTGTCACTTCTAACAAGGTGCTTTCCCCTTTAGGACTGAGTGATTCTCAAGTGGAAAGGAAAAAATAACAATAGAATAGTGTTTATCTATTGCCAGTTACAGCACACTCTTAAGCAAATCAATCCCTTAAGTTTTTCTGAATAGAAATAAAAATTATCAAGCATGTATAAAACATCTAATTTTGTCACGTCTCTTTTATCAGATCTGACTTTTTAAAAATAATATATTAACTCCCAAAACTCACCTCATGGAAAGAGTACTGATTAAGGAGAGCTAGACCCAAATGCCTGTGAAGATAGGGTTGTCACTCAACCTCACGGTACAGCAACTTTCTCTTCAAATTGACATCATTCTTCCTCACTTGATTTTGAGGTGACAAAACCAGATCTAGCATATCCAGCAAAGCTCAACATTGTTTCAAAAATGTGGTTTTATCATCAGACAAAAGACCATATTGTTCCATAAAACTTGCCCTCTCTCTAGGAGCTTCACTGTTCTGACACCATATGCATAGATGGACCGACCTCTCAAGGCGTAGAATGCAGCCATATCTGGACCTAGCAAATGTGACTCTAGATCAATTCAGAATGTTACTGGTCTAACTTTTTTACATTGGACCTTTTGAAGCTGGGATAAAGTAAATCCTTAAATCTGTATTTGAAGTTTGACTTTCTTGTTCAGTGAACCGTTGTCAGAAATCCTGAAATGTAAACCCATTTATACTGATTGTTTCTTTAGGTTAATCCACCTAAATAACCCATTACACACAGTAGCTAGTCACTTTCCACCCTCTGCAGGAATTTAGACTTTCTTAAAAGTCAAAGAAAGCTCTTCGGTTCAAAAAGCCTTGGTAGAAAACTGCCCTAAATGAAGGCAGTTGTGATTTCTTTTTCAGGTCCATCTATTATGTCAGAAGGCCAATTTCATAGATATAACAGACTCTAAGTGATAATGAATAGCAATGTTTCAAAGATACTGTAGAGATAACACAATTGGTCAATTCAAGTAAATGCAAAAGGGATGAGAAATCAATTTGCTACTTGGCTGGCAAAATACTAAAATTTTGCTTGTTTTTCTATTCTCCTTGCCCCATTGTAACCACTCCTCCAACCATAGCAGTTTTTAGGTTAGCCTTTGCAAAGAAATTTTTGGTATTTTGAGAACCAAGTGGGCCTGAGGCTATACAGTTACAATAACTGGTTAACTGTTTTTAATATACACGGTCTGACAATTAAGTTTGAGAGTTTGTTGCAAGGATGTTGCTAATCTTTTTTGATATCAGAGGGATTATTCATTATGAATTTGTACCAACTGGACAAACAGTTAACCAAGTTTACTATTTGGAAGTGCTGAAAAGGCTGCATGAAAAAGTTAGACCTGCATTTTTCGCCAACAATTCATGGTTCTTGCATCACAATGCAACAGCTCACACAGCAATGTCCATGTGGGAGTTTTTAGCCAGTAAACAAATAACTGTATTGGAACACCCTCCCTACTCACCTGATCTGGCCCCCGACGACTTTTCTTTACCCGAAGAAGTAAAAGGGAATATTGAAAGGAAGACATTTTGATGACATTTAGGACATGAAAAGTAATACAACAGCTCTGATGACCGTTCCAGAATAAGAGTTCCAAAATTGCTTTGAAGGGTGCACTAGGTGCTGGTGTCAGTGCATAGCTTCCCAAGGGGAGTACTTCAAAGGTGACTGTAGTGATATTCAGCAATGAGGTATGCAGCACTTTTTCTAGGATTTCACGAACTTGTCAGGCCTCATATTAACTAAATGTATTTCAAAAAATCACTTGGCTGTTTTTTTTCCCCTTTGTGCCACATGGATTCACTGACCCCAGACATCCAGTGATTATTATAGAAGTATCAGTTAACTCATTCCCAACTTTTTAAGATCTCTGTAACATCCAAAGCTTTGAAAAAGAAATGCATATTCAGCCTAGGAATAACAAAGATTTGGAATTTAGGTTTTGCTTTTCTGGTCTCTTTTTTGTGCTCTTTGTTTCTTGTATTTATGGTTTACAAGTCCATAAGCATCACTTTTTAATGTCTTTTAACATTTAGAGCTCAAGCTTAAAACGTATGTCCTCCTTTTTCAAACTTGTTGCCTTGACATAACGCTCCCCAATATTAAAATCCCAACCTCAATGCTTAAGTAGTCCTCCCTTTGTGTCACTTGGGAATTATTTTACTAATTTTTAAGCCATCACCACTAAGAATCTTTAGGTAAACAATATGGCTCATGATCAGTTATACTTACTCTTCAGATTTATCCTACTCATTTAAAAACCACCAAGGGTCTGTTAGAAACTTGATAGCTTTTGACAGGATAAGATCTTTAGAATTTAAAATATTTTTCTGAGACTTGTTGAAAAAAAATCTTAAAATCTAATTAACTTGTTACATTTTGTGTATTTAATATAACCGTCTTTCACTAACAAGTCTTTGATATATGTATATGGAACTATCGCAACACAAGTGTTTAAAAGTCTCTAGGAAATTAGGTCCATACATTGTGACTGTTTAATTCTCAATGTATTTTATTCCAAAAAAAACTGGTAACACTTTTAGTCAATTTTAAGAACTGTGGAACGTGAATGGGTTTGGTGCAGCAACTGGGTGCTGCCTCATGCTCCCAAGATGTGCGCCAACTGGATTATTTGAGTGTTTTCTCATTATAAAATGTGGACTCCTACACCTCAAAGTTAGGAACATAACACACAAAAGCTTATCCATAGAAGACATGGAAGTCTTCTCTGGGGAGAACTAGACTTTCATTTACCACATGCAAGTTATTAAATGGAATCACTCCTTAGTAAATGGAATTATCTCCTATAAAGGTTTCACCCAGCATATCAACCCACCTTCACTCTTGAAGAAATCCTTTACTCCCACAGCTGCTACTAGCACTTAGTATATATACTGACACCTTCAATATTAACACCTCTATACCTCTGTGATAATCATAGTCCCTGGAAAATGTCTCTTTCACCTTCAGCTTTGAAATCCTGTTAAAACCTCCCAAAACATCTTTCCAGTCCCACTGTTATTACTGTCTTGGGTCTTTATATAATTTGCACCTCTCTGGCAATCTGGGTACCATTCACTTGGCAAATAGCTATATGCCAAGCACTGTTCCAGGTACTTAGAATATCCGTGTAGAAAAGATTGAACCCTCATGAAGACTGCATTCTAGCAGCAAAAAAAAAGCAGTCAACATAAAACACACTACAATTATATTACAAATGCTACAAACAAACAATAAGAAGTAGGATAAAGGTATGCTAGCATGGAGGGGAGGAGGGAGCACAATTAAAAGGGTGGTCAAGGTGAGCTTCACTGAAAACATTTGACTACAGACGAAGTGGCCACCCCAAAGGGCAAGACAAGGGCCGGCCGAGTGGCGCGTTGGTTAAGAGCTGGTTTGGGATGCCAGCTCTGAGCAGCAGGGCCCTGGTTTGGATCCCACATGCGGGCCAGTGATGCTGTGCCCTCTCCAGCTTATGATGGCGAACAGCAGCTGCTGTGAGTCACTGGCGAAGGTGTAGGCTGCAGCAGGGCTGCAGTGGGCTCCCGTGAGCTACCGTGAGTGGCTGGCAGCCAGCGTGAGCGGCCGTGAGTGGCCGGCGACCCATCTGCCTCAGCCGGGAAGAGCACAATGATAATATCAACATGGGCCAGTGAAGCGACGTCCTCCACAACTAGACTGAAGAACAAAACGACAGCAACTTGTCTGTTCCCCTTCTCCGATTCCCCAATAAAATATTTTAAAAGAAAAAAAAGGGGAAAGACAACTTGAAGGCTTAGCGGCAGTGATACTGATGAACAGGAAGGTCCGTTCAATCAGTATATCAGAAAGGTTAAGAGTTTGAAAAAAGCATTCTGGCTGCTGCTGAAACATGGGGTAGGGAGGAGCAAATGTTCCTGGTTAAAAGGCTATTACACTCATCCAAGTGCAATGTACAGGGCTTTCTGATTCATTTCCACATTATTAAATGTTTCAACACTACTTAAGAGGTATAGTGAATCCCTATTCGGTCTTCGTAAATTTGTAAGTAACTTCTTTTACCTACAACCCTATCCAGTGCCTACCCCAACCCCTCCCCCGGAAATATTTCAAAGCAAATCCTAGATTAATCATTTCATCCATTTTTTAAAATCTTAACCATTATAATCATCAAACCAAAGATTATATATTTAAAGTATAACACATGGAATTAAGAGAGTATGGAATGATTACCAGTTTTTAAAAATATCAAGGACTAGGAGGTGGGAGTAAATGGCTGGGGTAGGGTAGGGGCTAACATTGAAGACCTTGGACCACAGCAACTATGTTCATCACGAACACAACTGCACCTTCCAACACTTGCTAAGGCTGTTATCACCTTATTCTACTTCCCAACTGCTTCTTCACAAGTTACTGGTATAAAGACAAGTGACTCAGGCACACTCATCTCACAAATATTCAAAGTCATGCCTCTGCAAAATTACATACCTTGGGAACATTCCCCCAAATTCTGCATCTGATTAACAGCCATAGTGTTGCCTATCATGGGTACCACATTCTTGCCTCAAATTCCCTTGATAATCCTTCAAAAAAACAGATTCAAGTCATTTCTCCCAAGAAGTTTTACTAGAATAAACTGTTCTGTTCCTTCTGCTATTGTTTTTGGCACATTAGAATTTACTTAACTATTTACCTGCCAAATAGCTGGAAAGTATAATCAGTTTAAGAAAAAAGTCCCAAATCAGTATATGACTTTTATTGCGTCTTTAAAAACAAAAATTGTTGGCTTGTCGGCATCTTGGGTGTTTTTGTAGCTGGACAACTGTAAAAAGAAATAAAAATGCCTGTAAATCTCCAACAATACCCTTGCCCAGAAAAGTCCAACTTTAACTAATCTAAAAAACATACTGTAAGATTATGACTTACTGGTTCATATTAAAAACATGTATCAATTCTATCTTACTCTGCCAAATTTACTGTTTCAGATGCAACTCTTCATTTTCTGCCATTACAACTCTAGTTTAAATCTCTTAGTAATTTGAGACACCCAACTGAAGCAGCAATAAAATCTAGACATCACAAGAACCTACCTTACATCTTATTCATCAGCCTGCTGAACTGTTCCTTTTTCAGAAACATAGATACCATCCAAAAATTTTCTGATATCCTTGTTTTTGACTGTTGTGGCTTGTTGAATCAAAGCAGCTTTAAGAGTGACAAAGATAAGGCAATTACTTTTATCAGCCAAACCTACCTTAAAAAGAATTTTATACATATATATAAGTACTTTACTTAGAAAACCTGAGTATCTTTCGGATAGCTTTTTATTTAATTTCCACAATAAAAAAACTCATAAACAGCATGTATTCAACGACAAGATTTAGACAAAATTTTGTAGGAGTAAACATACAAACCTGAATTTGATACAAGTTCAATATCATTTCCTTCAAGAATTAACTCATCTTTCTGGGCTTGAGATACTGAACAAGCAACACCTAAAAGGAAGAGGGCATTTGCACAGTGTCAACATCAAATCGAGGACATATTTAATTTAAAAATACTTAAATTAAATAGCAATTTATTCCATTTAAAATTCCACAGGTCAAATGAAACTTCTCAAGTTTTGGTTTTACAGGATCGGATTTATCTGGGCCAAAATCTTGTGTTCCTACTTGAAGGAATGTATTACCGACTGTAATTCAGTTAAGGAGTATGAGAAGATGATGGTATTCAGCTAGTGTGATTTAGCTGTACAAAGCTTGTATCAAGTTTTATTTCTACTGTTCCTTTAGAGCCATTAAATTGATACTAAAAATCCATTCCCCTCACCCCAGCCCCATGGAATAAAAAAGCATCGGGAATTAAAATTTTCTAATGCTTCAGTGTTGACTCTGTTTCAGGCAGGAACTATTTCAAGAGAATTTCAATTTTAACTCATTTAATCATGAGATGTTCCTAATTTTACAGATGAGTAAAATGAGCTACATAGAGGTAATTGGCCCAAGGTTGTTAGTGAGACCCGAGAACTGAACCTAGGCAGAGTCTATGCTATTAACCACCATTCAAATGGTCTTTTAAAAAAACAAACAAACAAACAAAACCACAGCTACCATGCTCGGCAAACTACTCCAATGTAAAAAAGCCTTCAGGAACCACAATTGGTATACAATATACAGCCTTAATTAACACTAAGAGTTATTATAAGCATAATCAAAATAGACAATTCTGAATCAATCTGGTTTTATGTATAGCCAACCCAAAACACAAGCTTTCACAAGAGAAGAATTTCTGAATCCTATCTGAAGGTATGCACATACCTGACCTCATGCGAACCCTGCGGATGTATTTTTCACCCAAGAAATTTCGGATTTCAACAAGAGAACCATTCTCCTGAATGACGACGTTGATGGGGAAATGAGCATACACAGACCTCATCTTGTAACGGAAGCCCTGTTAAGTAAATAATTATCAATGTTGAGAAATTTGGAAGACATGAAATCCAGTTTTTAAATTCTGTAGGGTGTCTGTTATACTTATAATTTAAAAATCAAACAGTCCTCACATAGCACTCACTGTCAAGATTTTATAACAACTGTCACCTGAACCAAGCCTAACAAAAATATTGTACACAAACATTTGTCCCAGTGTCTCCACGCTTAAGTATTTTACTACCTCCTGTAAGTCCATTTTAATAAGAACACCAAAGCACTTCATCTTGGGCAATAGACTAACATTTACTGAGTTACTAAGGTAGGCCAGATGGCAAGAACTGAGGATATCAAGATAGGCACCCCTGCCTGCAAAGAACTTGGCTTTGGAGCAAGGAGAAACGTAACAAAATAGGGTATAATGAAGTACAGGGTGCCATTATCTTCCTCTAGATAGGCCGAGTTTTAGTGAAAAGTATTTCAGCAAAGGCAGAAGCATAAATGATATCTTAAAGACTGGGGGAAAGAAGGTTTGGAAAGAGAATAGTGACATCAAACATGCTTTTAGGGAAATGGACAGGGAGCTCAGAAATTAGATCCATCTCATTCTATCCCTACAAAGAGGCCTTGGTTGTGAGGTACACCAACAAGAAATCAAAGCTTACCTTATGTGCTATATTTTCCATTAAAAAAAAATGCATCCTGATGATATGAATCTAATTTTGTGTGAAAAACACCATCAACATACTAAGACCATCTAGTCTTTACTCAAATTTATCACTTAATCCTAAAGACCCAAGGATGCCAAAATCACCTTTTCCATGTTCTAGAGCTCAAGCATCTCAGTAATTACATGTTATCTCCTCTCTGCAATAGACATTTACATTGCATAAAGTACAGCCAAGAAAGCTCCCCTTCCTAAACAAAGTAGTCTGAAAGGTCCACTTACCAGTGTAACACCCTTGATCATGTTCTGCACATGACTACAGATAGTGCGAACAGTAGCCAGTTCCTTTCTATTTCCCCACCATTTGTCAACCCGGAGCTGTAACAGAACAAAAACTTGAGCAGATTCTTTCCTGGAATAAGTAGGCTTGGAAGAAACAGAGCAACTCTAAATGCTAGTACATCATTATTAAAGCACATGATTTTCAATTGGGAAAAATGCAACTGCATATAAAGCCCTTGCTAATCACAGGTACACAATTTCACAAAGGAGTGACAACCCAGAAAAACCCACTTTTGTACAAGTTGCATCAAACTTCCCTTCTAGAAAGCTAAAATACTACGTTTAAGTGTCTAACTGCCCATTCCTAAGATTCTTACAAAACTATCAAGAGGAAAATAAACCTAACATGTAACACTATTAAGACCTGCCACTAATGATGACTATCAGTATTGAACTTTATAATCCACTCTACTCAGAATTCAGTTTTCCAACTTCGCTAAAACTATAACACCGAAGCAGGCAACAATTTGGACGCCAAACTTAAGCTAAAACATTAAACGTCTTTAATTTTTAAAACAACCAAATTTGATGCTATTAAATCACAACCTTCCAAACACGCTATTGAGGTGTCAAAAACAAACAAACAAAAACTCACCCTCTTCTTCTTCTTTCCAAGAAGACTGAGTTCTACATTGATGTGATTGAAGTCCCTCCGCAGGGTGCCTCTGGGGCCCTTCACAATAACGGTGCGTCCCTTCAGCGTGATGTCCACTAAGACGGAATGCATGTTAGGCCTCTGAATGAGGTACAGAACATGTAGCCGAGACGCAAAAAAAGGGCAACTATCAAGTCACGTACCATTTTCTGGAATATCCACAGTCTGATTGCTGAGAATGGTCTTCATCCTGAAATACAAACATTTGGGATAAGAAGGCGGGCGGAGGCCTGTTTTCCACCAAATGACCCTGCCGAGAGCTCCTCTCCTACCGGAGACTGTCAAGCAAAAGTCCCGGGGAAGGTAAAGGAAGACCAACACGGGGAACGGCCGCAGGTGCGTTCTGGCCTGCAAAGAAGCCACTAATAATCGGGTGTTACGAGGTCCACCCGGCGAACTCACGTTCAGCGCAACCCTGGGAGCCCTATCAGGGAGGCGCCATCCCGGCCAGGCTGAGGGGCTGGGGTAGGCCTAAAAGCCCAGTACAGGGGTCGAATCCCAGCGCCACCAGATCCATATGGCGCTCGCCGCGCAGTGGGGCAACCAGGATAAAGGCTCCGAGAGCCAGAGGTTCGCCGCCGGCTTTTCCGCGACGATGGCTTCAGATTTCCAGGGCCCACCGACTATTCGTACATCCTCACCTCGCAGTAGATTCAGCAAAAGAGAGAACGTCTTTCGTCACCACGTTCTTGTGTCCGTACGGACCCTGCGAATAACGTCATCAGCGCGCGACGACACTAGGCTAAAGCAACCAATCGCAAGACAGTTCAAGTTCCAACGGGTCAGTGGTGGCTCGCGTTTTCTGTCATAGACTATGCGACGGCTTGTCTGTCTTTCCCCGGGAATTAGTGATCCCTCGACCCTGCGAGAAAACAAAAGAGGAAGATGTCGCTACGATGCGGGAACGTCGCCCGCTCCTTGAGACCCCGGGTGAGCGTCAGAGCGAGTAGGGTGCAGGCGTGGGATGGGGCCTCCCATTCCTTCAGAATGCCCAATAATAAGGCCAACACTTACTGAACCTTCTAGCCAGGCACTTGTTCTGAACTTTTTTCATTTAATTTTCCCAACACATGCATGAGGTAGTGTCTGGTATTGGTTAGTTTGTAGGTCCTCTCGCCGGCGCTGAGAGCTTTTTTTCTATTTATCAATGATTTTCCTGTATTTTTTGGAACACTATAGGAGCATTGCCATGAACACCCCAAATTACTAGTTCGTCTTGGGCTCTTACTATGTACTAGATCTGGGCGCTGAGAACACAAACCTGTGCTCTAGGCTTTAGTGGGAGACATGGACCAGTGGAGTAGCAATCGTGCAGCACCTTAACGCTCCCTTTTTTAATTGTTGAAGGTTCTTTTGCGTTACATGTACTGACTCATGAATTTTATAGTATTTAGCTATCTTGTCACATTTGTGCGCATCTAGAAGCCAGTGGTTTCTTATGGTCAACAAATATATACAGCTGACACTTGAACAACATGGATCTGAATTGCAGGTGGGAGCGGGGAGGTCCACTTATACCGATTTTTTTCAATAAATACCTGTACTGTTTTCAGTCTGCGGTTGGGGAGTCCAGATAGGGAGGGTGGACTGTATGCATTGATCTGCACCATTTTATATAGGATATCTGAGCATCCTTGGGTTTGTTTGTTTTGGGGGGGCCGGGAGAGGTGAGGGTTATTAAATAGGTTAAAAGTGAATTATTCCAAACCCTACTAAATAAATGTCATAATAAACTCTTTCTTTAGGTATTTGGAAAATATTTATGCAGTGCAGTGAGAGCAGTAAGCTCTTTGCCAGATAAAAAAAAGGAACTTTTACAGAATGGACCAGACCTTCAAGATTTTGTGTCTGGTGATCTTGCAGACAAGAGCACCTGGGATGAATATAAAGGAAACTTAAAACGCCAGAAAGGAGAACGGTAATTGAAATTCTGAGATAATTTTAATGGCCCATTCCTTCATCGTGCATTATTTTTAGATATAACCAAGCCCTAGACTATATTTTTAATCAGACTTGTTAAATTTAGCTTAAAATTTAACAAGAGAGAAGTGATCATAGACATAAAACAGGTATGTGAAACATAAAAAAAGCATGTGAGATTGCTGGAATTCTTTTTTTTTTTTTTTTGCCCTTTGACAGTTTTCCTCCAACCTTCCTAAACTTAACCATCCTACACTGCCATCTCCTATTTTCTCTCCACCATCAAATTTCTTAAGAAAGTGAAGGTTATCACCTTGCTACTAGTCTATTAGACCTTGGTAAATTGATCAGTTTTTTATTGTTACTGTTTGTTGATAATCTAACTTGTTGCTTCTCCTAGTCAGTGTACTTATAACCTATGGATATCTGGCGTTAATTTAAAAGAATGGTGAGGGAATTTCATGCAGAGGGCAAATTGTTTTGCTCTCCAGCAATTTCTAGATCATAAGTGGGTGGAAGTCAAGGGGAAGCTGAGGATACATTGTCTTCACTCCAAATTTTAGATTTTTTTCCATTTAATAATCATCATAAAATCTAGAATAGAAAGTAGAGCAGAAAGCACACTTGTGGGGGTCTCACCTTACTCTGAACAAATGTGGAATTTTTTTGTCAATATTATTTATTGGGGAATGAGATTTTCAAAACTTCCTCATTTTTTTATTAGGGTGATGTTACTTTATGCCTTTGCAAAAGGCTCACACGAGCATAGTGCCCAGTTAGACACGATCATCAGTGTTTTCTAAAGTGTTTGAGCAAGCCTAACTTTGATCCTCTTTTTACTTCTATGGCAGAAATTATAAACGTTTATCCAAGATTACGGGGGAAAAAATTCTTAACTAGGAATTGTAATAGAGCAAAGTAACTTCAAAGCTGTGTAATTTATTAATGGATAGTTTTGATTTTCCTTAGGTTAAGGCTACCTCCATGGCTAAAGACAGAGATTCCCATTGGGAAAAATTACAATAAGCTGAAAAATACATTGCGGAATTTAAATCTCCATACAGTAAGTTGTCAAAGTGTTAAAGATCTCTCTTAACCAAAAGCCATAATGTTTCTACATATGTGTAACTTAAAAATTAATAAAATACATATCAATAGCAGCAAGGAAAGTGAATAAAGATGTTTAGGATACAATACTGTCAATAATGGAAATATATTTAAAACTCATTTTCCCTGCAGAAGAAACAAAAAGTAATTGTATTTCTTAGCTTCTCATTTAATAGTTAAAAAAAAGATTTTCCTGCAAGTAAGGAAATGAGGGTTTGTTTGTTTTATATTACAAATTAAGAACATGCTTGTTAGAGTATAATATTAAATTATATTCCATGTATGTTGTGAAACATCATACATGGAATCCCAAATTTTAACCACATCACTTTAGTTATTCAATATATATCATTCCAGATCTTTTTATTTGCACATGTAAAATATATACATCCATGTAGTTTGTAATTTAAAAATGGGGGGAAAAAAAATATATATATATATATACACACACACATACACAGTTTGGTAGTTTAACAGCGTTTTTATATAGTGAATTTCTTCATAAATATGTTGTAAAGATGAACTGTATAAAATGCCTGATCACTAAGTTGTTCAGTTGATAAATATTTTCAATCTGATGGTACTCAGCTCCCTTTTATGCATAGGTGTGTGAGGAAGCTCGATGTCCCAATATTGGAGAGTGTTGGGGAGGTGGAGAATATGCCACCGCCACAGCCACGATAATGGTAAGGCCAGCCTCATACTCTAAAGTTTTAGTCTAGTAACTGAAAGGAAATATTTTATGCCTTTCTTCTAAAAATGTGCATTATGAATCTCTAATCAGATTTTTTATTACATAATGCATTTATGAGAAATGTGAAAACAAACCTGACAGAATAATCCAACCTGTTACGATCTCACCCTTCTCTGAACAAATCTCTTACTGATTCTTCCATCTGTCTGACAGTTAATCATTGCTGCCTTGAGCTATCTTATCTATTTTTTTTTTTAAGGATTTTATTGGGGAATTGGGGAAGGGAAACAGCCAAGTTGTTGTCCTTCAGTCTTAGTTGTGGAGGGCGCAGCTAGCTCAGCTCCAAGTCCAGTCACATCTGGCCACTCGTCAGCAGCTTGAGGCTGCCCAGCTCAAGGTGCCACGTTCCATCTTAGTTGCGGGTGGGCATAGCCCACCATCCCACGCGAGGTCGAACCGGAAACCTTATTGCTAGAAGTGCACGTTCTAACTACTGGGCCATCGGCTGGCCATCGGCTGTCCGTCGGTAGCTCAGGGCAGCTCAGTTCAAGGTGCCATGTTTAATCTTAGTTGTGGTTGGGCATAGCCAACCATCCCATGTGTAGTAGAACCGGCAACCTTGTTAGGAGCACGTGCTCTCACCAGCTGAGCCATCCTGCCACCTGTTGGCAGCTCAGCGGCAGCTCAGCTCGGACGCAGCTCCTTTGGCCCATGTGGGAATTGAACCAGCGACCCTGTTGCTCAGAGCTCACACTCCCAACTAACTGAGCCTCTCGGCCGGCCCCTATCTTATCTATTAATTTTTTGAAATGTTGCTTATGATTGCTTAACTTCTTCTTCCCCCCCAAACATCAAGAATTTATTTTTCTCTGTCTGGGGTCTTTTGGTTACCTGGGGTTCAGCTGATCTTCACTGGGCTAAGCTGGACTCCAGGAAGTAGGTTGGGTTCAGGTCTGCACTACAGAGCTTTATTCTGCTTGGACCAGCAGCTTTTCAAGGCATATTCTTATCATGGAGAATGGAAGGAGCACAAGAGGGCAAGCCAACCACCTATGCACATTGGAGGCTTCTGCTTGGTCATGCCTGCTATCATTCTTTTGGCCAGAAAAAGTCACATGGCCAAGCCAAACAGTGGGGATAGAGATACAAGCTCCTCCTCCAGTGGGAGGGTTCTGTAAGTTACAGGGCAAATGGTGAGATGTATAACCTTAATATGGTGGAGTAAGAATTGAGATTAACAGTGCAGTCTACCATATTTATCCAGAGGGGTATGGAAAGTGAGGTATTAGGGTTAAACCTAAATTGTGTGCAACCAAAAGTTCATACTTGTCTGGGAATGTCTTATAAATGAGTTGTACCAGCAGGATGCTAATTACGTGAGGAACTGAGGATTCTTATGAGATAGAGCTCCTTCTGGAATAATACAAAGCCAACCAGAGAGTTTATACAAGTTACACAACCCCAATTCTTGAAGGAAGACGTGATTCTGAATACTCCTGTGATGGAAATCTCTGGTTTCACCCCTTACCTGGTCCCATTTCCTGCTATTGACTCATAATCAGTTCCTGGGGAGAGTTCATTGTTTCAGTAAAACTCTGAGATGTTGGACCTAAGCACCACTGCTGTGAGTCTCTTCTGAGAGAGTTAAACATGAAGGAGAAGAGGAACTTTTTCCCCAAATCACAACCCCTACTGTGGGGCTTTGAAAGTCCAGTAGCCCCAGAATATCTGCAATGGCTGTGCTTGGCAGGGGGCAGAGCATAGTAGTGACCTGTGGCAGCAGAAGCAGTGTCCTAGAGAAAGAATGGTACCCCCAGAAAGCAAATTATTAACTTTTTATATGTTTTCTGTTTCACTGATTTAACAAGAAGGAGATGTGCCTTCTGTTTAACTCACAGAGACCTGCATATTAATATGTTAATTAAATATTTTAAAATCATTTTTATTAATATTAAATAGGTACAAAAG